CAGAAAGAGAGAAAGAAAGAGAGAAAGAGAAAGAGAGACTTAGAAAATGAAAAGGAGAAATTAAAATGGAAACAGAAAGAGAGAAAGAAGAGAGAGAAAGAGAAAGAGAGACTTAGAAAATCAAGAGGAGAAAGAAAAATGGAAGCAGAGAGAGGGAGAGAGAGAACGAGGCAGAGAAAGTAAATTAAAAAGTATAGAGAAGAAAGAAAAAACGCTGAGAATAAAAGAAAAATAAGAAATCGAAACCTAGACGAAACAACAAAACGGGGGAAGAAAGAAAAGTAGAGAAATCATAGGGAGAAGGTGGAGGGAGAAAATGTGAAAGAAGCTTGAAAGAAAAAGAACCATATGCAGAGAGAGGGTAATAATCGGAGAGAGGAAGAGAAAAGGGAAAAGAGAAAGACGGGCATAATCATAAAGAGAAAAAGAGAATGCGAAACATAGAGAGAAGGAGAAAAAGAGAAAAAGAACGACCATTAGAGACAAAACTGGAAGTAGGAGAGAAAAAAAAGAGACAGTGTAAAAGAATAAATGGAAGACAGACAGATAAGTAGCAACCTTCAACGAATGTTTTTCGTCCGGCCCAAAAGCAAGAAAGAATTTTGATATGTATTAACGGCCGTCCGTTATCACAGTTATCTCCCTTAGAAAACAATATTTGTTCTGTTTTCTTACCCCGAGATTTGCCCAATTTAGTTGTTGATTATTTTATTTTATTCTTACAGCGAGGTTTTACGAATTCCAGACGAATCCATTACATTCATTTACATGCTAATACCCATGGGAAAGGTATGAATCCTCTTCTTCTTACGCCAAAGCTATGAGTATATAGCTAGACACACTGGGTTCTATAGCCTTGGATGGCAACTGGTCTACCACAAAAAGAAATGGCAACCTACTACGGGAAAAAATCTGCCTCGTCAGTCATGTATCGAAAGATACATGATCGCCTAAGCGTGTATCATGCATGGCACATAACTGACCTGATATTCACTTACGGGTTAATACCCTTGGGAAAGGTATGAATACTCTTCTTCTCCATCCCCCCCCCAGCTATGGGTAAATAGTAGTACAAATCGGGTTCTATAGCCTTTAATGGCAACTATCTACCGCCTTGGATGGCAACTGGTCTATCACAGAAAGAAATGGCAACCTACTGCGGAAAAAAAACTGCCTCGTCAGTCATGTATCGAAAGATTCATGATCGCCTAAGCGTGTATCAAGTATGGTACATAACTGAACTTGGGAAAGGTATGAATCCTCTTCTTTTCCCCCCAGCTATGGGTAAATAGTAGGACAGGCCTTGGATGGCTATAGAACCCCTGCGTGTAGCACGCATAACACATAAATGACTGACTGAAGTTTACCCATTACATGGCACGGGGGCCACTCGAGGTAGAGGGTTGTGTGTGGAGGCCAAAGGTGTGGATAGGCGTGGAAGGTAACGGTTAATCCTAACCTTGAACAGGTTAAGAGTGTAATGATCGTGGAAACATCCTGTTGGTAGTCGGTTCCACAGGGGAGTGGTTTTCAGGACGAAGCTGCTCAAGTGGGACTTACTTCTCACCGACGGAATACCGAGAGAATGTGGGTGCTTCGCTACTATGAAAGTTGCATGACGTGTTCTTGCTGTGAAGGTTTACCTCAGCGGGACCAGGGAATGTTGTTCGTCCGAGCACTTTCCGTTGAAATAGCGCCTACAAGAGAGAAGTTGAAGGGTGGAGAATAATTCATCACCCACAAGGACTCGGAGACGCTTTTGAACCCTATCATGGCTGAAGTTTTAGATCTGGTGAGCACCCGCCCAAAAATAACAACAGTACTCAATTTTTGACCTGATCTCTCTCTTGTAAAGGCAAAGGATAGTAGGAGGGATCAGGTACTTACTGGAGTGGTACAGAAAACCGACCATTTTAACTGTATTCTTAGCAACGGATCGTATGTACGTGTTCCACTTGAGGTCGGGTTTGAGGCGCAACATTCTCGCAATGTACGGTGTCTCCCCGAGGTGACATCCGTTCATCTTGATTAGCGGTATTTCGAGGTAAAATCGGCGATGATAGAATGTAACTAGCTTGCTCTTCGAGGCATTGAGTGTAACCAGACAGTTTTTACCCCATTGGGGTGTTTGTGCAAGATCGGAAGACGAATAAGTCGCCAATCTCTGACCATCTTGAGTTTTTGGGGTGCGCCTGTATATAGTTGTATCATTGGCATAGATGTTTACAAATGATCTGTGTATATTTTTAGGCAGATCATTTACGTAGATCAAAAACCTCATGTTCTTTTTGGCATCATCAGTCTGACTAAAAGAAAAACCAAACTAAGCATTAAGAAATTCTTGGGATCTCTGAGAATAAGTTGGTTGTCGTAAATCACATTACTTATTTTAGTTTATCACTTCCTGACTAAGATTTGAAGAAAGTCTGTCTCTGGGATTGTTCGTATTATCTATATCTCTATTAGAACCGATTGGTATTTTAGGATTTTAATTTGCTAAAAGATTTTCTACTTTGTCTCATCATCTTCATATATATATATATATATATATATATATATATATATATATATATATATATAAATTAAATGATTTAAAATATTTTTTCGCTGCACAGTAATAACCATGTTTCAAAAATGGAAGCTAAATTTTTTTATTTAATTACATAATTAAAATAAAGCATTAGTTCCATTTCATCTTCAAGCGAATATTGGAATAACTTATTTTAAAATTTACTGAGTTTTAAACGCACATATAAATTCATAATTTCCTGTTTCCAAGGATACAGAGAAATCCAATCATTTAGACAGGGGCAGTAGCGTGTTCATTTTTATTAACTGTTGTTGTATCAATTATGAGTTACGTTCGAAAAAGAGATTAATTCTTTATTTATATATACATATATATGTGTGTGTGTGTGTGTGTGTGTGCGTGTGTGTGTGTGTGTCAGACAAAGTACTAAGCTTTTTATTTAATATTTCTTGTGTTCGCAAAAGAGTTTACTTTTTTGGACACTGAGTGTGTAGAAGCTGTTCTATAGTTCCGAGCGCTTTCGGCTATACTTTTAGCCATTATCAAGGATGATTTTATTTTTCAGTTTAAATGAGTGTATGCGTTATGTGTATGTTTTTACTGTGTTATAGAGGGGTTTTATTTTCCGAACATGGTTAGCACATTGTGGCCTAGTTCAAAGTTAATATTGTTAAGAGTTGGACATTTCTATTTAATTATTAGGGCTTCCATTATTTTTAATCTTTTTTACAAGTGTATGAGGTTATTATGTCTGTGTTTTCTACTATTATGTTTCGAATTGCGTCTGGTAGGTTTCTGTGTGTATTTAAATGGATTCTAATGGAGCTCTGGTCGGATAGGTGTAAGGTAAGCCGTCTGGATAGGCATGTAGTTGTGTGACCAATGTAATTATTTATGAGTTCGGTTTGATCAGGAACACAGTTCCTTAAGGGTCATTTGAACTCATAGATAATGTTCGTTCTTTCTAATTTTTATAAGCTGGTCTGTTGTTGGTTTTGAGGATAAGGTTAGCCGTCTTAATTTTTTTTTTATAGTAGATAATCACACTTAATTATTTCCCATGGCATGTTGAAAACATCTGTGAGGCACATATATCCCGGGGGACTCGAAATGGGTTAAAGAGCGAGAACAATAGAAGAGTAATCAAGAAGACAGTAGATAACGATTGACATTGCATTTAAATTTTTGATGATCAAAGTTGGCTGGAAAGCATGGAGCGGGAAGAGAGTTCCATAAGCGAGAAGTGCGAGAATTTCTCAAAAAATGAACATCCCATATCAATGCTTTTTTGGGACAATTATGTCCCCCTATAGGCGTTGAAAACATTTGTGGGACACATATGTCCCAGGGGACTTAAAAGGGTTAAAGACACTATACGGCATTATTTGATCGGCAAAGGTTCTTCGTTGTTAGGTAGATTAAAGTGTGTTGGGTCGAACGATAGTTCACTTTGCCTAAGGTGACACAGGTTCAAACCTCTACCGGAGGCAGCTTATTTTTCTTTAAAAAGAATTGTTGAATATTCAGGCTGGTAGACAAAAATAAATAGAGTGACTAACACAAATATGGGTGTCCATGGAAAATAACGTTTAAAAGTGATCAAAATCTACTGGATTAATAAATTTAAAAAATCCATTACTTCTTTAGAAATTGCTTTGTTTACATTTAGATACGAAACTGAACAGATACGAAATTTTGCGAGTTCATGATGAGAAGGATTTTGATTAAAAGATACTATTCAGCTTTGCTGACCATTCACGAAAAATAAAGTTTAAATTGGTTTAAAAATCTGCTGGATAAAAAAAAATTAAAAATCCATTTCTTCTTTAGAAATTGCTTTGTTTACTGAGCAGATATGAAATTTTGAGAGTCTATGACGAGAAGAATTTCGATTACAAGATACTATTCAGCCTTTCCTGATCATCCACGAAAAATAATGTTTAAAAGTAATAAAAATCAGATGGATTAATAAATTTTAAAATATCCATAATTTCTTTAGAAATTGCTTTATTTACATTTCGATTGAGAAGATATTGAGAGTCTTTGCTGAGAATGATTTCGTTTAAAAGGCGCTATTTGTAATATATATGGGGAACATTGCTGGACATAGGAATTAACACTACTTGGTGACTATCAATTTTACGCTTTAAGCAATTTTGATCTACTTCACTTAAGTTTTATTTCCAAGCGCTTTCAGATTTAGTTCAGTGCGCTTTCAACCATTTTCAAGGATTTTAGATGTGCTATGACAAATTTTGTGCAAGTTGCTAAGACGGAAGAGATTTTTCATTCTTGAATGCAGCTAGTATATTATGGCCGTGTTCGTAGTAGACGTTATTATAAAATTTTAAAAATAAAGGAAAGTGTCACAACAGGGTAAGGGGATCCATCATAATAACAACTCAACTTAGTCTGATTACTTTTCCGCCGGTAGAAATGACACTCCTGCTTTTAATTCCCACATAACAATATGGCCGACACGGTACTTCCGTGTCTGAACAATGGCTGAAACGATGCTTCCGTTTCCTTAGTTCATGATTACAACAGAAAGAAAAAAAGGAAGTAAGAAATAAAGAAGAAAGCGGCAACTTCTTCTTCTTCTTCTCTTCTTCTTCTTCTTCTTCTTCTCCCATATCTTCTTCTTCCCCTTCTTCCTTCCTGCTCCTCCTCCTCTTACTTTCTTTTCCTCTTCTTCTTATTCACCTTTTTCTTCTTTCCCTTCTTCTCCATCTTCTTCTTCCACCTTTTCTCCCCTTCTTCTTCTTCCAATTCTTTTTCGTCTTCCTCTTCTTCTTTATCCTCTTCTCCCCCTTCTTCTTTTTCTTCTTTCTTTTCCTCCTTGTTACCCCTCACTTTTTTCTTCTTCCCCTTCTTCCATTCTTCTTCATCCTTTTCACCTCATTCTTTTTCTCTTTTCTTCTTCTTCTTCTTCTTCCATATCTTCTTTCTTCTTCCTCCTCCTCCTCCTCTTACTTTCTTTTCCCTTCTTCCTATTCACTTTTTTTTTCCTTCTTTCCATCTTCTTCTTCCTCCTTTTCTCCCCTTCTTCTTCTTCAATTCTTTTTCGTCTTTCTTACCCTCCCGTTTTTTTTTTCTTCTTTCTTTTCCCCTTGTTACCCCTCACTTTTTTCTTCTTCCCCTTCTTCCATTCTTCTTCATCCTTTTCACCTCATTCTTTTCTTCTTCTTCTTCTTCTTCTTCTTCTTCTTCATCATCATCATCTTCTTCTTGTCCTATCCTTTCAGACAGTGAGCGATCATGGATTCCCAGAATATCCCACCCTTTGTAGCTCTTAATATATTTTATTATTCTACTTTCCCTTTTCCTCCCTCTTCCTCCATCCATTTATGTACATTACTGGCTATTTCACTCTATCTTGACTTTATTATTGTATATTGGTTGATTGATTCGTTTTTTTACGGTTTATCAACCCGTTGTATGTTATTTAAAGCCAGAAAATATTTTCAGATTCCAAAATTTTTGGGAGATAATAATAGTTTACTGATACTTTGCACTATTTAACCTATAGCTGAGGGAGAGAGAGAGAGATAGATTCAAACCTTTCCCAAGCATATTTACGCGTAAATGAATATAACAAATTTAATGGCAATTGGATCTCGGCTCTTCGATTAACAATTCTGAACAATTATCCATTGCACCGCCCTCACATCCAGGCTTACAGCACCTGGACTTCCCAAACGGTAACCCATTTAGGTATTTACCAGGCTAGACGTTGCTTAACTTTAGCGATCATACGAGAAGCGGTGTTTCAACGTAATCGGTCCGTAAGCCTTACCAACCGCCCATCCAAGGTTACAGTACCTGGTCTTCCCAAACGGTCACCCAAATAGGTTCTGACCAGGCTAGACGTTGCTTAACTTTAGTGATCGTACAAGAATCGGTGTTTCAACGTGATAGGCCCGTAAGCCTTACCACCGCCAACACATCTAAGCTAACAGCACCTAGTCTTCCCAAACGGTCACCCAACTACTGCCCAGGCTAAACGTTGCTTAACTTCGGTCATCGTAACATTGTAACGGGAAAAATGTTTCAACGTGATGTGGCCGTATGTCTTGCCTTTATTATGTCAAGTGAATGTCAAATTCTCCAAGCCTTCTTTTCTCACTATGTTTCCTTGAAATTTTAACTGATGTTTCTGGTTTTGAATATAATTGTCCTTTTCGCTCCCGTTTTCCTTAAAAATTCCTCATTGCTTACGTATTTCGTCTTTGGTATTCTCAGCATCTGGCTATACAATTACATCCCTGTTGTTTTAAGTCATCACTTCATCTGTAAAAAAATGTCCAGCATTGGAGTATTGGTACTACATAACGGTTCGGTGATCTTTTCTTTGCGTCTAACGATATTTTCCTGTTTCTTGATAATTTATTTAGCTTTTGAAAAGCATCTTTCGCTATCCTAATTCGCTTCGGATTTCGGTGTCGTATTTTCCGTCCTTTGTTACAAATTTTTCATATATTATTTACAATATGCACAATAGATAGGTACCTCCACGAATTGGTATAGATAAGTTTTAAAATGAATTTTTTAAAATGCAAAAGCTTTCCTTAAGCTTTCAATTTATCTTTAAATGAAAACTAAAGGATTAAATTTACTGTACCCAGTAAGCAAAATACTTTGGTGTATTTCAAACAGAAATTATGTTGATTGGAATAGAGTTGCATTTTTTTAAAAGTGAAATTAATAACGTCAGCCATTTTTAGACATTTGTAAACAAAACTTAATTTTCCGTTTTAAAAATCTTGCAAAAATAAAATACATATTTCTAAAACGGTATTTGAGGAAAATTAGCAAATTTAAAGTTAAGTTAATATGATTTGAAACAAATATTACTTACTTATAGCATAACATGTTGCATACAAGTATTTCCTAATCATGGGGTCTTGTTTTTTGTGTTAATCGATTTATTGACGGAAGAATGACTGTCGATCGTGCCCATAGTTAAGTATGGTGTAGCAGAAGCAGACGAAAAATTTCATTAGGATTTTGTATTTTTTTTCGTATTCAACGCTTACAATTCGTGGCCTTTTAAGAATAGATTTATCGGTTTGTACATCCATACTTCAGAAATTCTGCATCTATATACATATATAAAAAAAATTGAAATTCTTTTAAAAATAGTCGGGTACTTCAGATTATAATAAGTTCTAAAATATATGTTTAGGGAATATAGTTTTATTTAATAATATTCCCTAAGAATTATCTCATCGAAATTGAACTTTAAAAGTGATGTAATGAATATGCATACACCTGAGTTCCCCTTATATGATTGGATGGTGTCAGCTATAAATACAGACTGATGTAGAGGTAGAGAACGACGCCTATTGCCTACCACTACGACGAGGACCAGTCCATTACGGTTACCTACTAGATTGTCCTACTCAGTTACAGTAGTCACCAACCACTTTGCTACTTCGAACAAATATATCCCTTTCCGGGACATATCAAAAAGATTCAAAATAAATTATTCAATTTTAAATTGTAACAAGTTGTAAAAATTCAAAACAAATCTTGTAAAAATGCATTTTTCATCGAAAATGTTTTCTTCATATAATATTTTGTTTAATATATATTATTCATAAAAGTAATTAAAAGCTTATCTAATTAAACAATGTCTTAGTTTTATTGCATTTGTTTTATTTAACGATTCAGAACAGATTTTCGATAAGACCGGGTCCGACTTTGCAAAAAAAAAAAAAAAAAAAAAAGAAGTCGGTGATTTAAATTCTTCCAAAAATTCTGCTTTTAACTAATATAGACACTAAAAATTATCTCGATGAATTTCTCAAGCTTTCATGAAATTAAACAAGGGGGAGAAACACATGTAAAATAAAAAAATATTTTTCCAAGGATTTTCTAATAAAAAAAATTCAAAAATAATTTCATTAATTTTTGAAAATGTCCTGAAAATTTCATTAAAATCGGACAATAATTTGACTTTTGGAAGAATTTCCAAATTAATGTGTCTGTCCCCGTAAAAAAAAAGACGCTAAAATCTGCTATGCTAAAAGTTAGTTCAACTGCTCACTCAAGCAAAACAATTTTTTAATGAAAATTTCGAATGTTCTACTATATAAAAAAATTAAATAAATATTCAAAAAATACTTTAATCTTTCCTCTTAATAATAACATAACAATTTTGACGATAAAACTATATCTTCATTACGTTTAGAATATATTTTCATCAGGCCATACTGATTTTTAGCGATCTCGTGGAGGTGCTTCACAGTAGAGAACGTCAGATATTATATAATTCATTATTCCTTTCTTTGCTTCTAACAAAATTTTCTTGTTTCTTAATACTTTTCTTAGTCTTTGGAAGGCGTCTTTCGCTATCCCAATGCATCTTTGGATTTCGGTGTCACATTTTCGGCGATCTGTTAAAGAATTTTCCAGAAATTTAAATCTCTATATTTGTTTCATTTTAATATCTCCAATTCATCGATTGTATATTGGTTTGTTTCTTTTACTTATAACACTACATTCTACCTCCTTAAAATTGATGGTTAGTCCTTTCTTCTCTCTTTCCTTTACTAACTTGTAGCTCCTGCAATTGTATTTCTGTGCCAACCATGGACGCTGTGTCATCCGCATATCTAATGTTGTCAAGATTGTGTCCACCAATAACAAATCCTGTTAGGGCTTCTATCCGGAATCTGATAAATAGATTGCCTTTCGACTACATCTAAATATTCCGAAACTGTCATTATCCCTGTGGCGACTTAGAAACAGTTAAACGAGTTAGCATCCGAAAATAGCCGTTATCAAAATTTTGGCTGATAGGGGACGTTTCCAGGTTGATATAGAACACATTCAGTCTTCTAAATAGCGAAGAGGTTATCGACCTTGAGAATCAGCGTTTGAAATCGTGGAACCTTACCAAGGTTCGAAACCAGAGTGTGAAAATCAGAGGGGAAGAGGTATATGAATTTGGATATTTTTACTTAAATGTTTTACATTTCTCTCTTTCTCTCTCCTCTCTCGCTCCCCTCTCTCTCTCTCGCTCCCCTCTCTCTCTCTCGCTTCCCCTCTCTCTCCCTCTCCCCTCTCATTCTCTCGCTCCCCTCCCTCTCTCTCTCTCGCTCCCCCCTCTCTCTCGCTCCCCTCTCTCTCTCGCTCCCCTCTCTCTCTCTCGCCCCCTCTCTCTCTCTCCTCCCCTCTCTCTCGCTCCCCCTCTCTCGCTCCCTCTCTCTCTCTCTCTCGCTCCCCTCTCTCTCTCTCTCTCGCTCCCCTCTCTCTCTCCCCCTCTCTCTTCGGCTATTCATTTTTCTTTTCATCCCTTATTTCATTCTCCATGGGACTTCTCTTTCTTTCTTTCTTTCTTTCTTTCTTTCTTTCTTTCTTTCGTTCTTTCTTTCGTTCTTTCTTTTTTCTGGTTCCGTAGCCATTATTTTTTGCTTATTCTTCTACTCAGCTTTTTCTTCATCCATTGATTCATTTTTTTTTCTT